GGGGGGGGGGGGGAGGGGGTAGTCGAGGACAAGGGAATGGAGCTCTCTGAGGAGGAATGAAGAGGGACGAATCAAAAAGAGATTTTACCGTCCCTCCTAGAAAATTTTACCGTCCCTCCTAGAAGAATCACGTTTTCCGTCTGCATGCAGTTCCATAAATAAAGAGGAAAAAAAAAAAAGTAACATGTTAGGAGTTGGGTCGTCGGAGAAATGCAGAAGTCAGGGTCAGGCCATGTGCCCCGTCATATGTTTCCAAGTAAAGTAAGACCGGCCAAGAAGTTGGTCTACATGGGTTTAGACGAGAACGTGAGTAGTAAAGGCGTGTTTCATGATAATTATTGGTACACGCGGGTCGAGGCGGGCCCCCGATACATTAAGTAGTAGACCCGTGTTCGCATGCTGGGGCAGGGGAGATTTGTTGCAGATAGCAGCCAGCGGCAGCGTCTAGAGGAAGATGAACCATCTGGTTTTAGTTGTTTTGTTGGCCAGGTATGATATATAACTGGTGTGATGCTTGGTTCCCTGGGGTGGGCGTTGCTTGGTGGGGTTAATGGGCTGAAATTGTTTTTTTTTTTCGTGTCATCGCTTGATGAGATTTTCTTGTGGCCTGTATTTTTGTTCGAGAAAGGGGCTGGGGATCGAAATGGATACAGCACTTGGTAGTGCATATTACGTTAGAGAAAAGTGAGAAAAATGCGGTGGTGGGCCTGTTGGCCAGAGGGACCAGTCGGGAACGATAATTGGTCGGCTTTCGCGGTTGGTGTTGATGCCATACGAAACTCTCCTCCATAATTCGGTGTGACGGCCGCTGTATTATTGTCTTCTTTTTATCCTTTCCTTTTTGTTGTGGCGTCTTGTTTCCTTGAGAAAGCTGGAAGGAGACCACCAACCACCACCATGTGGTGGGTGTAAGTGGTGTGTTGGATAACTTGTTTTTTTTTCTCAGGAGTATTTTTATAGAGTTGGAAGGGTTGTGTGCTACTTTCAGCAGTAGTAACAACACTTTATTATTTCTGTTTGTTATGCTGCAGCCAACGAGAATGTGCTGTACCCTTAGTCCGCCTTTTGTGCTAGGGTTGGCGAACGCTTCTGTGGGGTCTGACAGCGGCAGCAGCAAAATAGTTCAAACGGATGCTTGTTTGGATACATCCCTGGCCGTCGATCGTCCGTGCATGCATGCATGCACTTGCAGCAAAATGAAATGTTGCGATTGGGCTGTTGAGCGTCTACTCACGGGGAATGGGTTACGGGTATGGCAGGTGTGGTAGAGTCGCGTTGATTCGAATGTGTTTATGCACGCGTATGTATGCGTGCGTCATTGCTTCATTCGGTTTGTGTGGCTGTAGCATGTGTTGTGTGGCTAACGACGAAGCAGCGCCGGCTTGAGATTCGACTCGCAGGCTTTCTTTGGGTTTTGCAGCGACGTACCTTGCCTAGAATTCCACGTATTATCAGTGGGTTTGTAGCATTCCCGCGATGATCATCGATCACTCGCTTGTTATTCCGCGAGGAGAAGGTGGTAGCGATCGATAGATTGGGTGTGATTGTTTGCCTAATGATGGTATAATAGTTCGTCGAAGAAAGCCGTTCCGATCTCTGCTCGGTACCTTCCATGTACTTAATACATATTATATCCTCCTTCATCCGTACGGTGGTGCGTGCTGGTCCACAGCTACCTGACGTGACGGACGCCGGCGGCGTCCGTCCGTTGTAGCAAGACTCCTGAAAGGCGTATTATGCACTGCTGCTGCTGCTGCTGCTGCTTGCTGCTGCCGTGAAAGGTTATCAACGACAAATATTCAGAAGGATACGTGTTGTTTGATGCGTGGGGTAGGTAGTAGTCTCGAGGGAAGGAGCTTGGGAATCAGGGAGGCTGAACTGGCCATAAGAAAGCTGAAGCAAGCCCAGATCCTGCCGATTTCCCGTTAGTTGCAAATAAATAGGGACAATCCCGTAAAAGCGATGAAGAAATACGAAATTTCGATACTTTAATCAAGTGAAAAATGTGATGTCTCGACTTTTACTACATACCACAATAATAATACCGCTCATCATCACGTACGATTACGCTATGAATTGCTCATCTATCTAGAATATTTTCTTAGATGTGGAGATAGATTGATTCATTCGCTGGGTCGATCATACTGTAGTAAGAAAATATGTACATCCAACACAAAAAATTATACCGTGTTGTAGTCGTCACGACATTCACGGGGTCGATCCCCAGTTTGTTCGACTATTTACTGTCTTCTCTCTTTATATTCCACGCTGAACTGCTTGCTTTTCTGCCGTTGTTCAATTCTTGTTCGTCACGTCCGAGCTCAACTCGCAAGGCATGTAATATGTAATACTACTGTATCCAACAAAACAGATGCATACATGCCCTTTCTTCGTGGAAATGTTAAGGAGTGTGGCTGCTAGCTTAAATAGGGTACATCTTATTGTTGATAGGATGTGGGTCGGTCCCAGGAGGTATACCCTTCAGACACCTACCCTCTTAGGATTTGTCTAGTCTGCGTACCCCCTGAGGTGAAGTTGGATCCCCACTTCACCTCAGACCCTTGCTGATCGTCTCTCAGCAATAACAAGCAACTTTCTCATCTCTACGTGATCGTGGACAAGTGTGTCAACGACAGAACCTACTACCTTCATCTATCTCTAGGAGCAAGCTACCGCCCACGGCTTCCCCTCCTTTAAACTTGGCGTCAGCGGCAGGAGGACCCGATTCGCAGGGTATCCGTCGATTGACTTTTACCAGAATCGGTACACCTTCGCATATGGCGTCAGCTGGATACTGGTTCGAATCTCCTTGGGTGCACGTTTTTTCTCCTGACGTGGACATTTTCCCATGGACACAATGTGTGTCAGTCCTGAGAACACCTCTTGGAATCGATCCTATAAAGAATCTTGTGACACTTCCATCGAATTACCCGTCCTGGCCACAAGAGGTTCCCAGTTGAGGGTAAATTCTGTGGGTGGAGAGTGTTAAGGAGGACCCGATTCGCAGGGTATCCGTCGATTGACTTTTACCAGAATCGGTACACCTTCGCAGAAAAAAGAAAAAAGCCCGGCTGTGGGGTGGAAAAAAGTAACTAACAACAACAGCAGTAGACACAACGCGCTTCTACTAGGAAACATCAAAACAAACACAGAAATACTACCCATTCAAGATATAACCACAGCAGTCGAATTTGCAGCGTGAATGAATGTCAAAGGTACATCTGGAAAAATAAGGGCCTTTTGTGACGGGGAGCTGGAGCAAACACTAATAATACTACTACTGCTGCTGTTTGTGACAGTTTCATTGATTGAGGCCGGGGCCACCCCTGGGGGAAATACTTTGTGGAAGGATTCCCCGGTGCCCCCGCCCCTGGCGGCGACGGTGACAGGTGAGCGAGATCAGATGGACGCGCCACGGAGACCACAATCCCAACCACGACCAACATGAGGCCGTCTAGAGGTGCTTTCGCTGTGGGCCTAGCAAGCCTGGGCTTTGCCAGCACTCACGCATTCACGGGGCCAGCGCTGACCACCGCCCGCAGCGGTTGCAGTAGCAGCAGCAGGTGGCGCGTTGTTGCTTCAACTGCAGTCAGCGATACAGCAGTCGGTGAGAGGGTCGGTGAAGATGATGGCAGCAGCCGTAGCCGTATCATGTGTCGCTCACGTGAGAGGTGGATGGTTGCCGTTTTGTGGCCCACTGCCACTGTAGAGGTGGTTGAGAGTTGGTAGCTGCAAACGGCGGAGTGCTTTGCGCCGGGTGTGGCTTGTTTCGGGCGAAATACTTGGCACAAACAACAACAGCGCCGCCCTGAACAGCAGCGTAGCCCATGTAACAGCTGTACCAGCAGGTCTAACCCGTGTACACCTGCAAGAGTTGAGAGGTACAGCAGTAGGCAGGTCGTCCTCGTTGAGGTGATGGCGTTTCGAGTTGCAGTACACTTCAGTTCTTGCTGCCGCAACGCTATACACGTACGAGCGAACTATGGCCGGCCCCCCTATTTTCGGAGACAAGTAGATCAGCAGATCGCGTTCCAGAGTCTTGTATGATTTATGATACATGCGTCGTGGAAGCGGCACCTACCTGCCGCTGTTGGTTGCCGCGCACATGGACTGACTCCTTGGTATAACCTCTTGTCGGTGTGTTTGTAACCGCCTACGGTTGAGCTATTGTGCGATGCAGCTGCGGTGTGAGATATTGACCTGCTGCCGCAATAAATCTTGAACAAGGCCCTGATGCCGTTGTTGTTACTTGTGGCACGAAGACATGCCGCCAACGCGAAGAAACACGCTACCGCAATGACATTTACCACAGCGTTTGCGGATCGTGGAACCCCGTGAGGCTCGTCGGATATTTACAGGTTACCGCCACCCCCCCCCCCGTAGTCACGCGACACGTACACCAACCCTCAACACCCTTTGGGGCCAATTGCATGCCCTCTCCCGATGAAAAAACCGCCCCATGCCTGCCGTCGCACCGGCAGCACCTGCTGCTGCTTCTGCCGCGGATGAGCAGTACTCTCCCCCGCAGCTGGTGGCGGCGTTGCGAGAGACGTCGGCGCAGTCGCCGCCGCTGGGCGTGGAAGGAATATTTTCCGCGATGGCCCGGGACGACGTCTTTGTGAACGAGGTGTGTTGTTTCCCCCGACGGGTAGATTGACTGGTAAATTACCGTGTACCGTACCATATTTGCCACGATGGCCCGGGACAACGGCTTTCTGAATGGCATACGTTGTTTCCGCAAGAGCCACATTTGATTTGGCGAATTTCCGTGTATCCGCGTATGTTACCACTAGACGTTACCACCCCCACGAAGGATACCACCCAACCCTACAGAACACCACAATTTTTTAGGCTCAACATGGACGCAAACGCACAAGCATTCTCAGATCGAGTATTAGGACTGCACAGGTTACCACACCTCCCACACATAACACCGCACCGGGTGCAAGTTTACGCATTGTTACACGCCACGAATGTTAAAGGCAGATGTGTTGTGTGGAATCTTGTGTGGAATAAGGTACCGTAGGTCGCGGCAGGGTGTCCGTTGCTGATCCGGCATAGCCTCCTCCAGGCCTTCACCTTCTACCCACACGCCGTCCTCACCCACACGCCCACCCCGCCAAAGTCGCCTCGTCACGTACTTTCCCCCCCTCCATATATCCCTGCCTGTCTTTCTGTCTCTCCCCCCCCCCCTCCCCCCCCGATGTTTGCCATCGGGGTTGGGTTTTCGTCGCTTGGCAACGACGTTGTAAAACAAGCCGCCCCTCCCGGTGGTTGCCATCGAGGTTGGGTTTTCGTCGCTTGGCAGCGATGTTCTAAAACAAGCCGATCACTTCGTGAGCTCGGCAACCAGGTTACCGCTTTTTTTTTGCCTTCGTTTTTTTTTTGGCGGTAACCATGAATGGTGGTCGAGTAGATTATGTTGTGCGGAGTCGAGAACCCTCACTCCGCGCAAAGGGGATGATCGCACCACGTTGTGTTAATATTGGTCAAGCACCCTCGAGGCAGTTACACACCGCTTACAGCTGTGTCTGGAAGTGAAAGCACCAGAAAATAAATTAAGTCATACGAAGCTGTCATCCCTACGCAAGGAAGTAAGCACAAGATGCCGAACACCCTTAGCAGGATGCAGCGCACCCTTCATGCGACTCGCCGAATACCTCACGGCGCTTCGCGCTTGGTGATGTGAGAGCCTGGTCCGGTGAGAACCCGGCATGCTCCGTCCCGGCTTTGTAGGGATGCGAGGTCAATGGTCTAACGACTACGGCATGCACGACTATGAGTACCCCCCCCCCCCCCCCCTCCCCCCAACCTTTGGCAAAGTAGGAAGGAAAGATTGGCGATCGATGATCGGTCCTATGGGAACAATGCTCCGCCCTCTCGAAGACGCGTGGCCAATGGTCTAATACCTACGTACAACAGTTACACCCCCCCCTCTCTTTTGCGAAATGTCTGTTGGGCAACCAACCAATCAACGTGCTAACGGAGACAGCTGTGGCAGAAGAAGCCCTTCTTCTGCGACGCGAGCCTCCCCAGCCTGGCCGGCCAGTACACCCTCGACGACGTCCAGCAGGCAGTCGACTCAGACTTCGTGGAGGTGGGGGTTTCCACATGAAAATTCGGAGGGGTGCATCCAGTATTCATACCATACGTCGTAGTCGCTATTGTAGACCATTGACCTACTCGCATGCCGGGACGGAGCACCATGCCGGGTTTTCGTCGGCGCAGGCTACGTTTCACAAGGATCAGAAGCTGGGCACCATCCTGCTGTGCCAAACTAGATATGCCATGGGTTGAATGGGCATCCCGGCGGGTGGAGTGGGCAGGAAAAGGCTCCGTTTTTGAGTATCACTCCTTACCACGATGTATATACTTGCCGCCATGACTACACCCGAACGTATGCATGGTGCGGGTGCTGGTACTGCGTGTATACAAACCACGATCTTAGGGTGGCGGCACAAGCTTCGCTTTTCGTGTCTCCTCTTCTGGCTTTTTAACGCCACACAAAGACCGGCCCCGCCTGCGGTTCTTGCGCCTCCTTGCTGCCAAGGGCCCAGAATCGTCTCGTATCCGTGTTCTGCAGATGGGCACCCAACCCATAACTTTCTAGCCCATGGGATTACTCATCCCGTAGTAACACGTCGTGTCAGTGTCCATTCCAGGCTGATGTACCGAGCTTGTCACCCAGAAGCTATTCGTTGCATGAGTCTTCCCGCCCGTTGAGGTGCATATGACCAGATGATGGTGCGTTTGCGCTTGTGTTCGCCGTGGGTGGTCGAAAACAGGCCGGGAGAGGGACGTTCAGTCAGGGGTCTACGGGGTGGAGGATGGCGCCGGTGTCGACGCCGAGGGGGAAGAGCTTCGAAGACGCCAAGCTGAGGTTCGACGACGTCAAGAGCGCGCTGAAAGAGAAGAGCGGGACTGTGAGTTTTGTTGCGTCGGTTCCTCCGCTCTTTTCGGGTGGCAGCGGCGGCAGCAACAACAGCAGCAACAGCGGTTTTTGGTATTTTTGTCGCTGCTACTAGCGTAGGTGGGTTGATATTCCCCCACCCCTGGTCAAAGCTCTACCAGTTAAGCGCATGCAAAACACTAGTACGAACGCCCCCTGGACCGACTTTCAAAGCTTGATTACTACTCCACGACGAAGAGGATGCCAAAATCAAATGGCCCGTTTTCGGAAAGCTCGCGACGGAGGCGGTCCCAACGCCGCCGTTTTCGGCGCCGTCACTGGTTGTGCTGTAGAGTAATGGGGCTTTGAGAATCGGTCCAGAGAAGCAGGTGTCTTGCGTATCCTGCCGTACTACAATACTCTTGGTTTCGCTGGCTGCTCTTTTGGGCCTCCTTCCCATGGCATTTTCATACGAGTTGACAATGAATACTCGTTGAGATGCCGATCGAGGGCGCCAAAGCGGATTTCCATAGCATGAGACTGCATGTCCGTTTGGGGTCTCCCAATGCTTTCCAAAAAATATTCGATGAACACTCCAGGAGGCACTCATCAGCGCGAGATATGACCTCTGTAACGTCCCAATGTCTTCCTGTTCACCCCCCCCCCCGCTATCTTCTGCTTCCACCACACGACGCCCACGGTCCCGTCGTCGCTCGCATGCTTCTTTGTGGGGTTGG